CTAAAGCTTGTTGAGTGGTATCCTGCTCATCCTGAGTACTGTAGTAAATACTTTCCAGAATCAGTTGAGTAGACAGGGTCCAGGCTGCCACCAAGTTAGTTATAAACTCCCTAGTTTAAGTAATAATTATTTGACTCTTGGAGTCAGCTGTTCTAGTCTATTCAGTCAAGAAAAAAGCACATATTAAGCATTAGTGAAAAGAGTGTATCAGTAACCATTATCTATGTCAAAGTTCAAATGAGATTTAATATATGTGGGATTAGATAAATTGACAGATTTTTTCCCTCTCAATAGACATATTTTGAGTATCTATTATGTACTAAGAAGGAGGATCTATAAGCTCTTTGAAGCAAAGTGACATACCTGTCTTGGACATTGCTGTATCCCTGGGATTTAGCTAGTCTGTTGACTGAAATATGATAGACATTCATGTTTGAAAGATGACACCGGACAGACTTAGGAGACAGATGTACATAGAGCATATACAAAAAGATAATTAAATTTGTAAATACTATAGAAATATGAACGGTCAGTGTGAGATCTAGAAAGAGATTAACTCCAGCTGGAGAGACTAGGAGAAACTAATAGAAGAAGGGAAATTTTGGAAGTGGGATTTGAATAATAGGTAGTTATTTGACAAGTTGAAAGCAAGGGGAGTTATTTTCATTATATACCATGAGGAAAAACTCAAATGCCTATAAGAACCAGGAAGCTGATACACATAAGAGAGGCAGATTATATAATAATAGTGAGGAACCAGTGAACAAGTCCCACCTAAAAGGGAGTAGTTACTAAGGTCATGGTAGTTGTTGCTGCATGGGACCAGGGAGTCCGGGCGGCCAGACTGGACCAAGTTTCCAAGGGAAGCCAGAAATCTGGACTGCTCTGTAACATTTCTATGTTTTCTTATTGGTAGCTAATTAATATTAAGGTATTTCTGTGGGCCTCATGTTTGTGACTTGTGCTTTTATTGTCATAGTTTGGATAAACATACTTCTCCCCATTTAAGAGACAATCACCTCCTCACTTTAAGATCAATAGATATTCATTAAATAATATGCAAATTCCTCTAATATGGTTTTCTATAATGTTTATTAATATACAAACCAAATGCTAAAAGATGAAAGCTTAAATTTGGGATCTTCTATTTTTGCTAACCCTATGAAATAAAAATTATTAGCATTTAGCATTTTTGCCCTTTAAAAATGGTTATGCATAATATTTTAAGCATTGGTCTGTTTTTCAAGAACCTCATCTTAAAGCTTTTAAGAACTTAGATCTGCTTGCCTATTAAAAAGTCCTTAAAAGGCCATTGTATAGCCGAGAGATAAGTAAGTGAAGACTACATATTACAACAAGGAGAGCTTTGTTAAATATGACAAATAACAAAAGTCTTTTAACCTTGTCTTTTGTGCACAAAGGCACCTTTAAGAGTGTCTCCAGTAAGTGCTACATTAACACAGAAGTTTAGTTAATTACAGCCACTATTCTCACATACCTAAACCGAGTGCGAATACCAAGCAATCTAATAGTGTGCCCTAAGCATTAATACCTAACAAAATTGGATTCCTTGTTTCCTCTAATGAGCTCATTGCTTTTCTAAATATGGCCATTGCAGGTAAATGATCAATAGCCTTGAAAATGACACTACTACTAGATTATTTTGGCAAAAAAGAAATACTCTTTATGTAAAATAAATATTCTCACATATATCTCAGACTCCTTTCTAAATAACCTCACGTATAACAGGAATGGTCATACTGGATTTGTTAGTTTGTTTCAGTGGCTAAGTTAGAAGAAAATTGTGGACAGTCACTGTTTGATTATAGAAAAGTGACTTAGAATCCACATAACCTAGCTCAGGTTAGAATAAACTGGATCCTGTGTGTTTCTGTTAATTGAGAAACTGACAGGCAATAGGCTATGAGAAGGTCTGTTTTCTATTATGGTATAATAGTTATACAATATGACTGTTATAGTATAATAGTTCAGTACAAATTGTCCCTAGTGTATTATTTTCCGAGGGCTACAATAACAAATTACCACAAATTTGGTGACCTAATGTCAATGTAAGAAGGCCCAAACCTGCAGAGAATTATTTTAAGAGTTTATTTGAGCCAAACTGATGACATTGCCGGGAAGCAAGATCTCAAATGCTCCGGAAAATGACAGTTTTGCAGTTTCTTTTATACATTTGCAATTAAGAGGGGAATGTAAGGAAGATTACAGGTACAAAGGAGAAAGCAATGCAGGAGTTAGATTACAGTATAATTAACAAGATCATGTGCTCTCTGAAGGTGGTTATGCTTCTGGCTTCTGAGATATCTGAAAAAGAGGAATTTCAAAGATATATTAACATAGATGCATGAAAACAACGTACAGGGCTTACTTAAGGCAAAGATAAAACTTTTACTAAAGAAGTTACATGCCTGGGGCGTGACTAACCACCATAACTTTTCAGTTAGGAATTTATGATCAGATCACCCTGTAAGGTTAGTTTTGGTCACTGGAATTGTCAGTTTTATTATAGAGCCCCCCCTTTTTTTTCTTCCACGTAACATAAGAAATTTATTACCTCACAGTCGTAGAAGACAACAGTTTGAAATCAAGGTGTTGGCAGGGCTGCACTGCCTCTGAAGGCTCTAGATGAGAATCTGCTCCTTACCTCTTCCAGATTCTGGTAGCTGTGGGCATATCCTGACCTGCAGCCACATCACTCCAATCTCTGCCTCCATCGTCATATTGCCTCCTTCTCTTGTTTGTGTCTCTCCTCCTATAAAGACACTTGTGATTAGATTTAGGGCCCATTTTGGTAACCTAAAATGATCTTGTTATCTCAAGATCCTTAACTTAATTACATATGCAAATCTCTTTTTCCAAATTAGATCACATCACAAGTTCTGGGGACTAGGACATAGACATATGTCTTACTGGAGACTACCATTTAGCCCGTTACATCTAAATTTCTCTGCTGTCATAGTAAAGCTGAGCACAGTCACTATTCAGTTTATTATGATGTTTAAGTAATTTACTAATATTATCATTTGTTGATCATATCATATGTATCGTGTGTTTATAATTTTTAATTCTCATAACAACCTTAGCATTATCTCCTTTATGCAGATAAAAAGACTGAAGCTCAAAAAAGGTAAGATCTTGCCCAAAGATATAGCACAGCCAATAACAATGTCAATTTATATTTAAAGTCTATATGTTTTCAACTATAGCTTACATTTTATTCATATATAACTTTATATATTCATATTAGAAATTGATGTGTTAAATTTCACATGATGGATTTTCTTCATTAAATTTTTGCTCTCTATGATTCCTCAGCTCCCTGAGATGAATGTTCAATAAATTTCAGAACATGACTTCCAGATTTAATCTTAGGAAGGGCAAACCAAAGTGAAGTTTTGCAGAATAATGGCCGTAAGATGAGAATAAAGTTAAGGCTTACTACTTTACTAAGCTGCTTTTAATTTGAAATTTAAAAAAAATGGATGTTAAGTATATTGAAGTGCTTCAGGGTGTATACACAGACTGCTGTGTTTGAGTCCTATCTCTTTCATTTATTAACAATACTTTCTTGGGGTTAATCATTTTACTTTCCTGTGCCTCATTTTCATTATTTGTGAAATAGACAATGATAATGATATCTCACAGAGTCCTTTAAGAAATAAATAAAATAATAACCTAAGCAGTAACTGCTTCATAGTATAGACTCAATATAGCATTATTATGACCAATCATATCTATTTTACATAGAAAGTGATAATAAAAGTACCACATTCAAAACTGTGATGGAGTAGCGAGCAGTGGAGTTTTATTTGGTACACAACACAACTTCAAGCAGAATATGGGTCAGAGAGTATCATAGCACAGATATTCCCTGATAGGATTTTCTTTTGCAAACCAAAGTGTTTTATGTTCCTTCCTTTCTTCTCCACACCAATTATAATCTTCATGGCTCCTCTCCTCTCCTCTCCTCTTCTTTTCACTCTTCTCTGTTATTTATTCTTTAAGGAACAATTTAAGTTTTCATTTTCCAAGATAATTTTTGATTAAATCTTATTAAGCTATTTTTCGATTTCCAAGGTAATGCGACTCTGTAATTGAGTCAGAAGAAACAATCGTATTACCTGTTTCATATGCATGAGCTCTGTCGAGAATACCGGAAACTTTTTTATGTTGGCATGTTTACAATTCTAAGAAATCTATTTGGACTTAAATAGTTTATAGATAAATATGGGAAGGCTTAGGCTCTGGTAGCTTTTATCTCTAAGTGGACACAGAATTATCTGCACAACATTTCTAAGTAAAAGTGGTTTACAGCTGTCAGACTGTATGAAATAATTGCTCAGTTTGTTTACATCCATATCATAGCTTAAGCATTTGTAGTCTGTCAGTGGAGCAGGGAGGAAGAAGTTATGAGATCTTTATATTTCACTTATTTGTGTTTTTATATATAACTTTCTGTGGTAATTATTTTAAATTTATGAACCTCACATATAGTAACACTTTTCTTCATGAAAACCAGTGTTCATGATGAAGAAAAATTAATCTATGCTCTTAATAGACTCAAGATGTCAACTGTTATCTATTATTATATTGATGTGGGGGGGATGGTAAGTATATGTTAGCACAGTAAAGTGAAATGAATTGTCTCCATGTTAAACTATGGCTCCATGATGGAACCAGCTGTATGCATTTGCATATATTTAATTCTGATTTTATCCATCTTAGGTGTGGCTTATCCCCCCTCTCCCCACTACCACCTCTGTTCTCGAAGTGAATTTATTTTCTAGTGGGGAAAGCCTGTAATTAATTATTAGTGCTTAAGGGGAAATATTCTAAAATGCATTGTGTTTATTGTAAATGAATTTCTGATCACACTTGTAACTACTGCACTTTGCTATAAAATTCATTCTACTTTTGATCGTGGAGAATTGAAGTGTGTCTGCATGAGTATTTCACACAGTGTCTTCTCCAACATCCAGGTGAGCACAAAATGTCGAGGCCTCTGGTGGGAGTGTGTCACAAATGCTTTTGATGGAATTCGCACCTGTGATGAGTACGATTCTATACTTGCCGAACACCCCTGTACGTATACCTTAGACATCCCCCTTGCAGGGAGGGAATGCCAAAGAAAATTGAACTCAGGTTTCTATTGTATGGTTTTGTTTTCTACAGTACTATATTTCTGTCTAGTTTTAAATATTTTGATTAGAAATTTAGTTTATTTCTAAAATGTGAATTGGAACATTTTAGCATATTTTATCTTTTCCCATGTATTTGTAAATTCTTTAAGGTAAATTCACCTCTGCTTTCCTCCAAAGACCTGGCATAGTACCTTATACACAGTAGGCTAATAGTAAACACTTTTTAAATGGAAATAAATTCTTCAGGATGCTGTGATTTTATGATTAGAAAGGGCAGAAGACCTGAACAGATATTTCTCCAATAGGAAATACAGATGGCCAATAGACATAGGAAAAGATGCTCAAGGTCACTAATCATCAGAGAAATTCAAATTAAAACCACAATGAGATATCACCTCAAACCTGTCAGAATGGCTATCATCATCAATAAATCAAAGAACAAGTGTTGGCGAGGATGTGGAAAAAAGGGAACTCTCATGCACTGTTGGAGAGATTGCAAACTGGTACAGCCACTATGGAAAACAATCTGGAGGTCTCTCAAAAACTTAAGAATTGATATACTTTTTGACCCAGGAATTGCACTTTCGGGTGTTTATCCAAAGAAAACCAAAACAATAATTTATAAAGATATATGCACCCCTATATTCATGGCACCACAATTTACAATAGCCAAGATATGGAAGCAATCTAAATGTCCATCAACAGACAATTGGATAAAGCATTTATGGTTCATACAGACAATGGAATATTACTCAGCCATTAAAAAAATGAAATCCTACCATTTTCAACGATATGGATGGTCCTAGAGGTTATTATGCTGAATGAAACATGTCAGACAGAGAAAGATAAACACCATATGATTTCACTTATATGCAGCATTTAAGAAACAAAAAGAACAAACTAATCAAAAACAGACTCACAAATATAGTGGAAAATTTGGTGATGGACAGAGGGGAGGGAGGTTGTTAGCTTTAAATTATAATTAGGTGTTACCAAGGCTCATGTTTCTAGGAATAAAGAGATTTCATAAATTAAAATATTTTATGGTTGATTCTCTGAATTCTTCTTTTTACCAATTATTTTGGAACACTGAGTGTGCCAAGAAATACTGGTCCTTTTATTTAAGTAAATTGGTTTTAGTCTCTTTCAAAGTAATTGACAGGTGATGGTACCACATGGCAACTTCTTTACTCAAGATAAACGAAAAGTAAGCCTTGGAATGTGACTTTTCCCCTGGACAGCTATTTTATCCAGGGAAAAGCACTCAAAGGAGCAGTGCTCTAAAATATCTTTCTCTACCATTTAGAATTTGAATGCCTGAAACATTTTAAACATACTTCATAAGGCCTTTATTTTATTTTATTTTATTTTTTAAAGACTTTTTAATTCTTTTTTTTCTCCTTATGCTAACCTAGTTCTATCTTCAAAAGAAGCATGATTTGGTCAATAAGAATGGAAATTCGTGTGGACTCTAGGCTATTCCAGAAATGTAGTGGTATGGTTAGAGTTAAGAAGAAAAGAGCTGAAATCTTTCAACCTTTTAAATATTGTATGTACATTTATGCAAGAAGAAAATAAAATGACTCATAAGCCTACTGCACAGAGAAAACCATTTTTTATATTTTAATGTTCCTTTTTTATCTTTTGCTTATACTCTCATACATTTTTGATATAGCCTTACCTATTAGTTTCAAATAATATCTAAAATATCCAATTATTTTAAAAATTCTATTATATAATTAAACACAGTAGAAATGAAAATATGTCTTTTTTTTTAAGCAAGCAACTCTTGGTTGACCTCACACATTGCAAGGAACTTGTCAGCTTACAATCCTTTATTTTTTATTTTTTATGTCTACAGCATCTGGTCTTCCTAGGTGGTCTCCCATCCATGTACTAACCAGGCCCGACCCTGCTTAGCTTCTGAGATCAGACGGGATCAGGTTTATTCAGGGTGGCATGGCCATAGACAAAATATATTCTAAGAAAATAATTTATACCCTCTAAATAAGGATGTTACCTACAAGAAAGTAAGATTTGACTTTTAGTTATTGATATCTTTTACACATGTGTAATTTGATAATCTTTTTCATTGCCCTGTATACCTAAGAAATGCAGACCCAGGTAAAAAATTTTCTCCAGGGCTTCTGCTGATATAGTTAATTAGAGCCCCTACCTCCCATCCCCCCACCCTCAATTAGAGTATTTAATATTATTCTGGCAGCCAAATCTCACACAATCCTTAACAATAAATTCCTGGCTAGCCAGCATTAGCAGCCTGTTTGTAGACCTGCCCTCTTGGAACTAGGCTAACCATGGGGGCCTGTACAACCCCACATGTATGAGTCCTGGAGTTCCACGGAGCATTCGAATAAAACTCTGTGTGGGATCAAGAGTTGAAGAGGGGAAGACCAGGAACCACAATGGTTTCAGAGCACCCCATCTAGATGGCACTCATGTCTCTTGGTGGTCCCAGGTTCCACAAAGGAACTTATATTTCAAGGAAGGCACTCGAAAATTTGGGACCCTTTGGCTTGGGGTACTGAGTAGACTGCCCAGTCATATATACCATTGAGGATTAAGAGGATCTGCTGAAATATAAAAAACGATATTACCTAATGAGTTACATATTTTTTTCTTTCCTCAAATCATCCTTAGTTTGGCCTAAATTTGAAATTCAAGCCTAATTTTTTTCATAATGCTAAAGTTTGAAATCTTAAAAATTTCTTTCTAGAAACAAGTATATACTCATATATTAGCAACAATATATGTAGTATTTTCACCTATTGACAGGACAGAAGCTGATTTTATGCATTGATTTTCTCTTGCATGGATTATAAAAATTTTTTTTTTTTATTTTAAAAAGAAAAATTGGCCACATTTTTGCAAGCAACCTATTACTAAGTAGGAGCTAAGTTTACCTCACCATTGGGGAAAAATTCTTTACGATGCAAAGAACCCTCAAATTACTATGAATATAAAATGTAATTACTGTACCATTAAAGGAATACATTTTATTCTTCCTCCCCATTAGCCAGCTAAAATAGTAGTAGTTCTGACTTCAGGTAATTAACCCTCCATTAGTAACAGAATTTACCTATTTAATTTAGCACAGCTGAGAATCAATTCAGGAGGCTTTCTCAGTTGAAGTTGCTTCCGCTGCAGAAGATGACCACTACTATTCTAGTTCTGTTTATCTTCTCTTCTCTTCCCTGGACCTTCTACCTTATATTCTCATTGGCTATAGCTTCAAAACATGCTCAGTTGGCAATGCAATGTTGAAGGATTAATATGGAGTGCTGGCCGAGAATGGTCATGACTTGAAGGGGCGAAAAGGAATATAACTGGCTTCCAGAAATAGTCTTCTACTTAATGATAGAAGCTCTTTCTCCTTCTAAAGTTCTGCTGTTGGCTCTCACCTGCCTAAATTGGCAAGAGGCATCTTAAAGTATTTTATTCTGTTCCCCTATACCAAATTTTAACAAGTTATTAAAATTTTTTTTTCAATTAAACTTCAAATCACTTATGTATTGAATATTTATTAGGTAACTTCTGCAGAACAGATACTCTACTTTCAATTCAGTGTTCAGCTGCAATACTTGTTAACAGTACTCATTCCAGAACAGGAGGCAAAAGGGAAACATTTATTTAGTCTTCACTAAATGCCATGCATTTTGCCAGAAGGCCAACAAGACTAATTAATAATCACTGTTTAAACAAATAATAATGTCAGTAGTCTCATAATATTTTTGTGTTTTATGAAAATTTAAGTGTACTAAGTGCAAATTCAAGTTTATGCAGATTTAAAAGAACAATTATTTCAGTAGCCTATTTTAGTGTACGTAGTCGCTGGTTTTGTTTTGTTTTTTATGTACTTCTGTGAGTTAACATGTTTCTTTTCTCTAACTATACTGTAACCACATACTTTGATCTTCCAGTGAAGCTGGTGTTAACTCGGGCATTGATGATTACTGCAGATATTCTAGCTGGGCTTGGATTTATCACCCTGCTCCTTGGTCTTGACTGTGTGAAATTCCTCTCTGATGAGCCGTACGTCAAAGTCCGCATCTGCTTTGTTGCTGGAACCATATTACTAATCGCAGGTACTGGTCTGGGCTAGTGATAGAAGTAAAGATACTCATTTAAGGTCGTGAGGTGAAGGAGAAGAGTGCTGTTCTGAAGCAGTTCATTTTAGGATCTTATGTGACTTGTTTTACTGGATCGAAGGAATGAGAGTGCATCCCCCAGCCCTACTTTCTTTAGCTTTGGAATCAGATAATTAATCTTTTTCTATTGTTGCTAATATTGCAGATCAAGGTTTATAAGTCTTCAAACTAATTTTTAACCATCTAAAGCAACTGTATAATGCTTTAATTTTTTAAAATAATTTCTTTTGTGATTATTCCTGAAGTTAAATACTCAGTTAAGCCTGGAGCCACCACCTCCTTACCCCCGCCAACTCTTTTTAGCAATGAGATAACATGTGCCAAGCCCTATGTTAGACTTTTCTCATATGCCAACCCATTTCATCATAAACGAACAAGAAACAGATCATATTATTATCTCCACTTAAGAAGCAGATGAATAAATGGAGTTCTGAAGACTAATAAATATAGCTAATAAACCATAAGTCAAGGAGCACTTTACATGGTTGTGATAGAGGATGACTACACTTTGAAGTTGATGACAGACCTGAGTAAAATATCAATTTTGTAATACCTGTAAGGCCAACTTTCTTTCTGCACATAATGTGTTCTGTAATACACGTAATATCAATTTTACTCAGGTCTGTCATCAACTTCAAAGTGTAGTCATCCTCTATCACAACATGATGTCTTCTTTGGATCTTAATGCAAGTTTGGAAGAAATCAAAGGGCAGGAAGACTGAAAACCAGCAGGAACACCCTCCAGATAGAAAGTTATCCTCATTTATGGCAACAACAAAAAGTTAACAAAGCAAATATTAAGTGAGAATCTGATCAGGCAGTGTAGGATAGTGAATGGACAAGGATTTTGGAACTGAAAATACCTGGAGATATATATATGCGATATGTGACCTTAGACCAGTTACTAAATCTGTCTTTGTTTCCTTATCTGCAAAATTAGCTGAACTTCCAGCAATAATATCTACTCTGAATCGCTATTGTGAAGATTCAATGTGAACAGAGAGCAAGCTCATAGCAGAGAGCCTAACCCATCATATACTCGAAACCAAGGCCTCCCTGATTTTTCCACAGGCAAACATTGAGTGAAGGCCCTGATGTTCTTTAGGTGGTATTAAAAGTCGCAAGAATTTATTAATTTTTTCTTTTTAAGACCTTCATTCCCATATCCAGCCTAGTGATAACATAAAGCTTTTGTATGTAACAATATGTTTTATTTAATAAATTTAAACATCATTTAATGCTATACAATTTTGTTCTAGAATACTTTTTGAGACATCACTAGATATTCTATATTTTTATAAAACAACAAAATGAGCTAAATTTAAAGACAAATAAGTCAATAAAAAATTCTGCAGGAATGGTTGAAGAAAGATTAAGTAAAATTGCCAGACATGGTCAAAGCTTTGGAAACATCATCCAAAATTAGTATGCTATATACAGATATCCATATAGCTAGATATAGATATACAAAATTTGTTCCTAATTTTCATAAACGGAATTTCCATTCCAAACCTATTGCAGTATTATAGAAAAGGCATAATAATGTATACCCTGTTATCTAAATGTTACATATTCATGATCTGATTCTTTTTAAACTTTTTTCATTAAACGATTGAGAAAAGAATGGAATGAAATGGTGGCTTAAATAGAAATCACAAACTCTGTAAAAAAATGTGAAAGTTTTTGTGGACACTACAAATTTCAAAAGTTTTCAAATAAGCCGTTTATCTCCCAACACCCCATCTTCTTTTCTTGTGTCTAGGCCCTGACACGCAATTTATACCTTTAAAACAAGAGACCCTAGTGGCGTTATTTCAAGCCAGTCAATTGTCAGATCTACTAATGTATATGTATTAAGTTTTATGTAAAAGGAATAAAATTTCTTCATTTATATGTAATGTGGGGGTAATAGATAAGGATTTGTTTTAAAATAAATAATTTTTACTTCAGTTATTTGTTTTTAACCTCAATATATTAATGAATAACAGTGAAAACATAGTTTCTGTATAAGTTGATTATGTAGCTGACACAGCTTCAGTTGTGGGTCTGGGGAGTGGGGCAGGGGAACAACAATATTCTTAAAGACATTCTTTCAATTTAAAAAATCGATATAGAATGAACATGTGCTCTGCATTGTTTGGTTTTGTGTTCTTTCTCTTTTTTCTTTTGTTTTTGATATTTTTCTTTCTACAACACTAAAATAGCAATGGAAAGATAAGAAAATTAAAGTAAATTCAAGGGACATTTTAGGTTTCCAGAAACAGATGAGCACTGCACTATTTTACTTTTGTATTTCTATTTATGTATAAACTTAGATATAATTTAGAATAAATACAAGATAGAAGGCGAAAGGGAGACATAGAAGAGGTGACCAAAATATGAGTTGTCCATGAATCCATAATGTCATTATTATCTCTCTAAATAATGCCACCTATTTTGGGTATCAGGCAGATCTCTTTGGATTTAAGTTTGGAAAAAGCCTGCATTATATTTTACATCTTTCTTTTCTTTCAGGTGCCCCAGGAATCATTGGTTCTGTGTGGTATGCTGTTGATGTTTATGTGGAACGTTCTTCTTTGGTTTTGCACAATATATTTCTTGGCATCCAATATAAATTTGGTTGGTCCTGTTGGCTTGGAATGGCTGGGTCTCTGGGTTGCTTTTTGTCTGGGTCTGTCCTAACATGCTGTTTATACCTCTTCAAAGGTAAGGACAAAATAAAATAGCATATTTTCTTGCCTCTAGTACTGTTCTTTCCAACCTAATGGAAACACATTTCACCAGCCCAAAATAATGTTATTTATTTGATCCCTCCATATTATCATTAAAAATTTCAGTTGTTCAAGGACAATTGGTTTGCAATATCTGAACCTTATTACCCAGTTAATGTTATATTCATTAAAAAAAAAACCTCACTGCTACAATTGAATCTAATATCTAAATATATAATGATTACTATGATGTGTCATAATTTTATATGTCTTACTTCACCCAATCTATTAAACTTATATCTAAAATTAAACAGAGTAGACTGAGAGGAAAGCCAAATATTTGTTGTGGAAGAATATAATTGGATTTCTGAAACTATCACTTAAAAAACTAATGGAATCCCTCTCTTTATCAGTAAAAAACAAGAATACTTGACTGAATTTTAAATCTAAAAATAATCAGGATGAAAATCTTAGATTCTCATCTAGAGTTCTTAGATAATTCCTTCTTAGAATATGTATATTCTTGCTTCTTTTGCGGAACAATACATGAAATGACATTATTTTATTTCTCAAAGTTTACTAAGCCATAATTATTTTTAAATCTCTACAATTCTCTCTCCCAAACAGATGTTAGACCTGAAAGGAACTATCCTTATTCCATGAGAAAGGCCTACTCTAATGCAGCTGTATCCATGGCCAAATCGTACATGGTTCCTCGGACAGAGACTGCCAAAATGTACGCTGTCGACACAAGGGTGTAAAGTGCTGCATATCAGTCTGTGTGTTTGTATGTTATTTAACTTATTAATCTATAAGTTCAGGTTAATAAAATAGTGAGTCAACCCAATAACAGTTGTTTAAACTTCATATTCAACAAATTAATTGCTCACCTTAATCAAAAGTTTGTTACTTCTTTTCTATTATTCTTATATTCTTCCTCGTTCTTTCTCCTCTCTCTCTCTCTCTCTCTCTCTCTCTCTCTCTCTCTCTCTTTCTCACACACACACACACACACACACACACACACACATTTTTCTTATATTTCAAGATAAGTTTCTAGGAGATAAAAATGTTTGTAATTTCTATATTGCTATTAGAGATTGCACCATGGTAATATTAAAATAAAATGACACTTTAAGAATGGAATACAGACGTGATTCCATAGTGTACTGGTTAGCACGTCTGCTTTACATGCAGAAATTCTGGGTTCATGCCCCAGTGGAGCTACAGTCCATGGTCTATGACCATGCCACCCTGAAAAGTCCGATGTATGATCTCGGAAGCTAAGCAGGGTCAGGACTAGTTAGTACTTGGATGGAGACTACCTAGGAAGGCCAGATGCTGTAGGCATAAATAAAAATAAAAACAACAACAAAAAAGAACTGAATGCAACATTCAAAGAGGCCAGAGATTCTCATCTTTGAAGGGATTGACAAGCTCTTAGCTCTTTTTCTGGTTTTTGGTTCACTTTTTGTATCCTCAGCTGAGGGAGTTATTTGTTAACTCTGAAGAAGATGGTTCTTCCAAATTCAAGCTAGTTTATCAGAGCCTACTATTGCTTTGGTTCTGTTAAAGTAGAAAAAGAAAATACTTCATGTGTTAGCCACTGATGGGAGTTAAAGATAAGAAATTCCTCCTCCACTTTCCAAATGTCAGAGGCAAATGATAAATTAATACCAGAGTCAGTGGTATTAAGTGACCAGACTCAACTTTCTGCCTCATTAACAACGTAAGAGATGTGTATACTATGTTAACACTACTCCTAGTTTGCCTATGTGTTCCCAAATTATTAGATTATGGCAGTAATAGCTAAGACAAGGAGTTCACTAATTTATTGATTGGACATCCAAATATGTTTTATGAATGTACCATATCAGCACCCAGCAAAAATATCTGGCATATGATAATATTTAACCAGTATTTATGGACTGAAAGAAATAAAGGCTCACAAGTCTCTACTCAAAAAATAAAAAATTTTCTCATAAGATATGTGCTTTTTTGAAACAATAGCATTATATAAGCACTTAAAGAAATCAGTGAATAATTGTTAATGGGATTTTATTCATATCCATAATGTAATCATCTTGAATCTTTTAAATGGTAGAGTTTTTAAACAGGTTATAAAATTTCATCTCATGTTTTCTGATTCCTTGTAATTCACATGAATAAGATTAATACCCTTGCAGTACCTTAATGTGCTATCATCTAAACTATAAATTAGTTCTTAGTTTAATGAAAATTTAATTGTGAATTTCTGACCCCAAAAGAAATGTTTCAAATTTAAAAAGCTAAAGATAATGTGAAAATGATATGATGAAAGCCTAGTACATATATTAATGTTGATGAGAATAGTGTTCATGATTTTACCAGTATTCTCAGGAGAAATTTTAATCTAAGCATTAAGAGCAATTAATTCATTTTTATTTCATAGGGATTATTAGCTGTGTAATTAACATTGAAAAAATTTTTTGTAGATTATGTTTCTTAGTTATATGGGTATTATTTTATGTATTTGAAAGCTAATTTTGTGTTCTTTTTTTCTCAACCTTGGTTTTTAAAATGTTTATTTTCACTTTTATCTTATGATAAATTACCTGTTATCGTTTATATATTCTAATAGTCTCTTGAAATCCTTCTGGGAAAAGGCAGAGTAAAAATTAATTAAATAATTCATTAAATTTTAGAGATAAAAATTTTTCCCTCCTTATTTATTTGTATGAGAAAATATTTCAAAAGATTATGATAATTGTCATCCATGACTGTTTTCAATTTTTTTTCAATAAAAACATTTTATATATACTAGGAAGACTATTAGTATTTTTTTCTTTAATTACATTGGGAATGTTTTTTCCTAATCTACTGTAATTTAATAAAGCATCCCCAAATAAACTATAACAAAGAATATATTTCGTATAACAACTAGCGAACAACAAAATAAATACTAAATAGTGAAGAAGTTATTATGGACAAGGTGGTGGCTCAATATGCTTAGAAAGAAAAAATAATATAAGCCTAAAGTATACACACATATGTTTATTAAGTCGAAATATTAAAATAGCTCACTAAAGGTTAGGTACAATAATTTAAGCATGGCTTTTCTATGGCCATGCCACCCTGAACAAGCCCGATCCTGTCTGATCTCAGAAGCTAAGCAGGGTCGGGCCTGGTTAGTACTTGGATGGGAGACTGCCTAGGAAGACCAGGTGCTGTAGGCATAAAAAACAAAAAATAAGGGATTGTAAGCTGACAAGGTCCTTGCAATCTGTGAGGTCAACCAAGGGTTGCTTGCTTAAAAAAAAAAAAAAAAAAATTTAGTCATGCCTTATTAATTACAATAAGAAAAAATAAAATTTATAAAATGGGACAATTTCATTTACCTGTTTCTTTATTAGCTATTCCTTTCTAATATAACATTTTAAATCAAAATTAGACATTTGTTATTACAAAAGTTGTATATGTGTATTGTAGATAGTTGAAAACACAAAAAAACAAAAATGTATCTTATTTAAATTGCATGGCACCATATTCTCTCTACCTAGAACATTACTAAAACCTTATTGAATGTCTACACATACTCCAGATATTCTGCATTTATATACATACACACAGACACTCACACATACACATATCTTTATTTTTTAAGAGATCATTCTATACATGGTACTCATAATCAATATTTTTCCCCTTCAACTATCTCTGCCTTTTCATAGCAATGAATTTTCATCTTATCTAATATCTAATGCGTATTTAAATTTCCTAAGTTTCTCAAAATACACAGTATAGCTGTTTTGTCCAAACTAGGATCTATATTTCCTCTGGTTTTACTCCCCTTAAGTATCTTTTAATCAAACTACATTGTTTTTCCCAGTTAACCTAATTTGTTTAAAAAAAAACAACAACATTATTTTTATAGTTTGTTTCACCTTCTGGATTTGTCTTGTGGTGTTATTTAGCTTGTTTCTATATGTCTGTATTTGCAGCAAATTGGAATTTAAATCTAAAGTCTTGATGGAATCAAGTTAAATAATTTCTAGACTATAATATAGGTGATGTGATAGCATATCCAGAGACCTAATATCTGGTTAATTTAGCCTTAATTTATGGTAAAATTTTTAACTGGATTAGGGTGATGATAGTCCGATCCCTCTATTCTTCAGTTTTATATATATATATTTCCTTTAGTGACAAAACCAAATGATTATTTTAGTGTTATTTTTGAAACTATTGGAAATCTCATTCTCCATCAACCATAATAATAATTTTAAAATAATACTTTTAACAATTGATAATTCCTATCTGAGTCAATATATTGGTTAAGATTTTTAGAAAGATGATTTTCTATTTTATCTATGTCCGTAGTAGAAATTCTTCTGAAAGATAAGCTTCAGACTTTCATCAAAGTCTGTTTAGTTACCCTGTAAAATTAGTATAAATGCTTAATTATTTCCCTTTGTTTACCAATTCACTATTGCAAAGTAAGGAGTTGATTTATCAGTGAGAAAATATATAATGTTTCATTGAAACTGGGACAATTTGAGAATAAAAGTGAGTGCCATTAATAATTAAATCAGGACTGCCTGGGAAAGCAAGGAAGTATGGTCACTCTTTTAGATCAAAGAGTTACGTGTACAGTTTTTCAATATTTTTAATTTTTGAGTATCATAATGGCCTTAAAGATTTTCATTAATTCATAGTGTTTTAATTTGCTATAATTATTATTATTTTGATACTTAAATTTGTAGTCTTTGGTCAGTAGGGGCTTCTTTAAGTTAGCTCCTATGTTTTTTGGACACAGTCCTTCAAAATTTTCTTTTCAATAATCTTAATGTTAAAGTCAGACAGAAAAGCATAAATTTATAACTGAATCTTTCACAAAATGAATATACCTGTAAAATCAGTGTCTATGTCAAGAAATAGAAGATAATCTTCCCGTAGAAGTTACCCTCCCCACCTTCCAGTCATTACCCTCCCCATTCCATGGGTAACCATTATCCTGACTTCTAATGCCAAAGAGGAGATTTGTCTGTGTTTAAACTACTGTATATTTAATTGTTTGCATTTAACTTTTTTCACTCAACATTATGTTATGAGATTCAAGATTCATTTATATTGTTGCATGTAGTTTAGTTTGTTTATGTTCATTGCTATACAGTATTCTATTGCATGAATATGCTCCAAATGTTTAATACATTTTACTGGTGATGAATATTTGGTTTGTTTCAAGTTTTAGTTATTACAAGTAGTGATGCTATAAACATTCTTGCATGTAATTAATTTGAAGTGACACATGCACTCCCTTCACTAATACCTGGGAGTGAAATTTTTCCATCGTAACTATGCACATGTTTAGATATAGTGGATATTGCCAGTTTTCCAAAGTGTTTGTACCAATTTACACTCCCACAGAAGTATGATGCTCCAAATCCTTGTTAACATTTAGTATTGTCTTTGGTCATTTTAGCCATTCTGATAGGTGGGTAGCAGCATCAAAAAACAAAAATCTTGAGATACATTTGTTAGATCACTCCTTTCTGTCAGTCGACACTGCTGAGTAAGTAGTGTTAAAGTCTCCCCTCCCGCGCTCACTGTGCCTAAGTCAGAGTCTCCCAAAGAGCCTGATCAGCTGTGGCATCCCTTTTTCGGAGGTCTGAGTTTTGGTACAATTGACGAGAGTCTGAGAAATCATTCTGAGTGATGGGGAATGTGTGGTGGTGAGAGATCCAAACATCAAGTGCTCCAGAGGCTTTGGCTTTGTCACGTA